TAATAATAATAATGGTTTTATCAATAATAAGGATGAAAAAGTTAAGGCAATCTATGATCACACGAATAATGAAAAACGGCATGATTAAACAAACAATTGTTCAGGTGGAAGTAGTTTATATAGGCTAGTAAAAACAAATGAACCGATTAAGTAATGCCAGACTGATTGTGAGGGAAGTAAATGAGACACGTTTTTAATGAAGATGTTATAAGATTAAGGGATGATAAGAAAGGGGTTGAAAATATAAATAAGGGGTGGTGTAGAAGTCATTAGTTGGTTATGTCTTAATAGGCCAAGGGAGGGATAATGGCTGTACAAACTTCTTTTGAATGCACAATTTAGGTTTGATAGCTCGAATGCCTATCGCCTCAGCAGTAGACGAATACGAAGTCTACTGGAAAGAATCGGTGGGATACGATAAATTACTTTGAAAGCTTTCGTTTTATCCACTACATGACCACTATCAATTAAATGTGACAAAAATGAGCTACGGATTGTTTTTTTCTGTCGTTTGCCAAACCACGATGGGAGATGTTCACTAACACATTGGCTAAGCTGTCTAGTAGTGCGCCCAACATAACTGTCATCGCAGGTGCAACTGAATTGATAAATGCACATAGATGTGGCAAAAATATCTACCTTGTCCTTCGTTTGTGTCCCAATCATTCGTTGGCTAGAGAATGACAAACATAAGCATGCTGCGTAAAATGTTCTCCGTATACTCGTAGAAAGTCTATGGGACAAAATCTCCAACTATCTAATAGAAACTTTTTACGGGCAGTCAGAGTTTCAGGTTTTTTCTCCGATGTTTTCATGTTTCTTTATGAAACTACTCGGATAGCCTATCTCCGTCAAGGAATCGTGAATATATTCAAATTCCTTTTGTAAGAGGTCATCCGTACATATCTTTCTTGCTCTGCTCGTAAGACCTTTAACAACATTTCTTTTATATTGAACAGGCACGTAACTAAGCAAGTGTGTGTATTACCCTGTTAATGTGCTTTTTGTATACACATATCTCCCAAGTGACCCATCTTCATCACTTCATCAATGCTCTTTCACTAACATCCTACTTTTCTGGGTGTCTTTCATATTACACAACCCTTGTCAGTACTTACCAACTTCACCAACCCTAATTACAGTGTGATTATTGATCACATTTTTGAAACATTTTGATGACGTAAGCAATAACCCTCAATATTTTTTAAAGTTTTTTTGACAATCCTAATGTACACACACACACACAAAATAGTTATATATGAATGCCACTGTAAGGCTGAGTGAATGAATTCGCCGGCGAAAAGAGACTCTTCGCTGCAAGTTTCGTCCCTACTTTTTAGGCAATGTTGAGTTTTTGATTCTATTATCAATGGGAATAACCATATAAATACGGGCGGATAACCATCTTTTTGCTGTTTTTGGAGAGTTCTGTGACTGTGAGCGTTTCGATGGAGTTTTAGTCAGCTATACAGAAGGACACAGAGATCGGTTTCCTGCATTCAGACTACAACGAGTCAGTTTTTGGCCATTACAATTATCATATTGCAAATCCCAATTTTCCGCAAGACAAAAATATGCGCATACATATATCAAAGTGTATACATTGAAGCACTTCCGTATTGGACGGCTTCATTGTATAAAGATCAAAAAGTACTATACTATTCTGTAGAAAATAGCGACAAGCATTTGAAATTTCATTTATAAAATTTATACTACTGACTATCCGGACAAGTAGATGACCAACTATTCGCAAAAATACATTTTGTTAGAAGTACATTCCGAAGTATTATGAGAGCAACATTGGTTATTGTCCTATAACAAGTTCGTATCCAGAACTCCAGTTCTACATAGTATCACTTCCGGCTTCAAAAATTGTAATCCTACAGTCTATGATTTCATCACTCAGATACCTGATGGCTTTCCAGATTCGACATATGTAGGTCGTACACGAAACTTTTTGCAGATTGATATATTACAGATAACATAACGTACAAATCTCGTCTCCTAGCTGTTTGATCAAATAAATTATGAACAGTGTTTATAAATATGTGAAGTCAAATGAAATCATACTGATATGGCAGGATTTGAATCTCTTCGTGTATTCTCATAGAGGACATAACTTTTCAAGCCAACAGAATCAACTTTTTAGTGGCCTTGAGTATTCAAATATTGAACGAAACATTTCCATATTGAGTCACAAGAAAAAAGAGACACAAAGAGAGGAGAAAATTTCTTTTCCGACGAACCATTTTCAAGAGCTGTACAATAGACCCCATATTTAATAAAGAATTCGTAAGACTAATCAGATACTCGTAAAACATAACTAATCCTTACAAACCAAAACTATAGAAAGTTAATCTGATGCTCGCTAGTGACTTGCTACAGGTTGGAGTTTCCTGAGTTCTAGTGAGAAGTCGTGACCAGTGAGGTCCAATTAGATGTCACGTGTGTGGATGGATGTCCCACCAACGACAATGGTTGGGGTCGCGCTAAATCACGAATTGGTAGAAGTTAGAATTCACGAGCCATTGAATCGGGTCCCAGTGGCTGAATGGTATACGAGCTTGCCTTGTAACCGGAAGGTCCTGGGTTCGAAACCCAGTGGGTGCGTACTGCCGATGATTCCCAAACTAGGATGAAACAGCAGCTGTCCAGTACTCCCTGGTTTTCAATGGTTCTCTAACTGATATCAATCCGTGATCAACTCGTAAAACATAACTAATCCTTACAAACCAAAACTATAGAAAGTTAATCTGATGCTCGCTAGTGACTTGCTACAGGTTGGAGTTTCCTGAGTTCTAGTGAGAAGTCGTGACCAGTGAGGTCCAATTAGATGTCACGTGTGTGGATGGATGTCCCACCAACGACAATGGTTGGGGTCGCGCTAAATCACGAATTGGTAGAAGTTAGAATTCACGAGCCATTGAATCGGGTCCCAGTGGCTGAATGGTATACGAGCTTGCCTTGTAACCGGAAGGTCCTGGGTTCGAAACCCAGTGGGTGCGTACTGCCGATGATTCCCAAACTAGGATGAAACAGCAGCTGTCCAGTACTCCCTGGTTTTCAATGGTTCTCTAACTGATATCAATCCGTGATCAACTCGTAAAACATAACTAATCCTTACAAACCAAAACTATAGAAAGTTAATCAGATACTGCTAAATTTATTCTAGGAAATGTATTACATAATGTACGGTGTAACCTAGGGGCGGGATAACTAATTGAAAACTAGAAAAAGGGGACACAAGTTGGGATGACACAATAAGTATGGAAATTAACTAACCAATATACCTGTATAAATTAGAAAAAAAACTTGTGGAAAGAAGCTAAAGTGTTCATATAAAATCTGTATAAAAATGCAATGTCATTAACAAAAAATAATAGAGTGATTAAAAAATAATAATAGGAATAATTAACTGACATGATAAAATAAAGCAGAGTTATGGCAGTAACATTGCTTTGACTTTTATAAGGTGACTGAATGTGTATGTAGTGCTTCCGAAAGCAGACGTCTGGTTTCAAACCTCCAATAGCCAGTGATTCGGCTATGTATAGATGGTGTATTCAAAGTCCTATCGTGTGATATTACGGAGCTCCTCGCAGCAGCGTGAGGCAATCATGTGAGGGTGCCTGCTGTTCATATTTCTCAAGGTGTTGGTTAACTAAACTACTTATATTATTCTACTCCTCTCTGGCTCGATAAACTCAACAGTGTTCTAGAATACGTTTCTCGGCTTCACGTTGCGTACGGAAGATATACTTCGCTCCACAGGAACAAGTAAATTGGTGAAATTACAAAAGAATGAATACTGAACAAACAGTACTCTTTTCGATAAATTCATCATCAGCCTCTACATTTATACATACATTATAGTGAGTGAATGAATTAGTGTTATGAACAACATTAATGCTGTTGAAATAACATCAAATCAATAATACTGATAAAATAAGCTGAATGTTAGAAGAATTAGGAAGGATAATATTACAAATTAATTAGTTTATAGTTTCTACTGAACCCTGGCCAGGGCAGTAGTAGAGGCTGGTTGAGCTTGCTTCTTTTTCACACAAAGCACTGGTTGTTTGAGGCGAATTGCAATAGCCTCTGCTGTTTGGAGCATGCGGTGCTCCGATGTTTTTTTGGCAATTTATTTGGCACCCGGTAGATGATTGTGGAGAAGGATTCATCTACACTGGCTTTGAGGCCAGTTTGCACCAGATGTTCCACTATCGAGCTGTTAATAGTTTTCACTACACCTTTACTTAGCCATGCTGGGAGATGTTCTCGAGTGAGCACGAAAAATCAAGTTCCTAGAGCAACAACGGCCAATATAACTCGCCCCACCACAGGAGGGCAGTTGAATTGGTAGATACAATTTGAAGTGGCTAGTCTAGTCTAGGTAACTTCATCTTTCAGTCGAGGTAGCACCAACGGTTGTGTAGAGAGAATAATACGTGTAGTTCGCCGCCAGCATTAAAAGTTCTTTGAACTGATTTTCTTAATCTCCTCGTAATTATCTCACTTGATATATATATGGCCCATGATTTGTAGTCGTATATTATAAAGAGGCTTTTGCGTTGCTTTTTCTTTTTCTGTACAGTTTTAGCTGCTGATGGTTCCTATTACAAGTATACATTTACAGCGAATGGTACTGTAACACGTGTAACATTTGTGAATTTTCTAGACTTCTACGATGATGAAACAGATTTCTAAGCCTCTTTGATGATACAAAGCTTATATTGGTCTGTCTGTCTGTCTGTCTGTTGCCCTCTTCTACACTCCCTCATTGATTGACTGACTGACCACCCCACTTACTTATTTTTGCCCCTTTTCTTTTGTGGCCAACTGACGAGATATGATATAAAATATGCTGTGTTATGTGTGTATGCGCTGTCATTCAAATTAAGCACCTATTTTGTGTAGGCGTATTGCTGATATAGACTAACAACTTAGATATATATATCTATTTTTGGATTCTACTGAAATTTGATGTGAATAGTCTGATGACACCTAATGTCAATCCTTTATCAGCTGATAATGATGATGAACAACTACCTGTTAACCAGTTAGAATGTCACCAACCTCATCGTGATGCCTCAGTCTTCAGCTTTGTTTTCTTTTTTTTTATTATTTGGTTATGCTTTTCATCTTTTCTGATATCACATGTACGTATATGTGTGTGCGTGTCTGTCTGTATGTATGTGTGTACGTGCTTGTGTGCTTTGTCATTGATTCTACTTTCTCCTTCTCCTCTAATGACCCAATGTGATTAAAAATGATGAACTGGAAAATGAGATTTAGCCTCCTTGTTTTGTTTCGCCTTTATTTTTTTGCTGTTTTTGACTTTTTTTCGGTGATGTTTCCCTTCTTTTGTATCACTTTCTTAGTTGTCTACTGATTGTGATTGATTTTATCAATAATCTATGGTCAAAAATGGTATTATTATGATTATCATTATTATTATGTAATATGTACACATGCACATGGTCTGGGGTTCGATCCTCGGTCAGTGTGTACACCTGATATCAATGGTCGACCTGCTAAATTTGGGCTACCGATATCGCATGCTGAAAATTCCATACTTGTATCAAAAATACTGTGTGGAGTCAAGCTATAATAAAAATTAAAAAATTTAAAATTCAAGTGCTGGTTTGTAGGGCTTTGATTGGTTACAGGATTTCATCATGAGAACCATTGTAAAACCAGTTGAGAGTACTGGACAGCTGTTTCGTCAGCCTAGTTTGGGACTCTTCAGCAGTACGCACCCACCGGGATTCGAACCAAGGACCTTCTGGTTACAAGGCTAGCGAGCTCGTAGACCATTAAGCCACTGGGACCCGATCCAATGGCCAGCCCATGAATTCTAACTTCTGCCAATTCACGACATGGCGCGACCACTAGCCCATGTCTTCGGCGAGTATTTGTCCTCACACCTTACCTGCTGCACCCTACTGGTCACGACTTCCCACTGGAACCCAGGTAACTACCTACCTGAATAGGGCAAGTCGCTAGGAGCATCTCATTGATATTCAAAATTTAAATTTAAAAAAATTGAGTTTAAAAAAATTTCTTTTTTAGGGTTCTAACAATTTTTACACACGCAATTCTGTTGTATCTACTGATCAAAAAGTTATAACTCCTAATCTGATGTCAAATAAAGCCTTAAAATTATCACCAACAACCTCTGAGACTAAACAACCACGTATAACAGGGATTATTTCTACAATCCCAATAAGTCAACAACAACAACAGCAACGAAAAACTTCTACTATTCATCGATTATTATCTTCCGGTGTAGAAGATGAATCTGCTCAAGCTGCAGCTCAACTTCTGGCCAGTGGAGCTACTGACAATACTTCAGACAATAATCTAGACCCTGGTCTTCTTGGAACAGCTACTGATATTAATCAGGATACTACAAGCGTAGATATCAAGCATATCCCAGAACAACTGGTAGATGATTATATTGTTAACAATGCTACAATCTCTATAACAACAACAACAAATACAACAGATTCAACGCATAGTACAACATCTATTCCATGGTCATTGTCTTCTGCTTCTGGTGCTGGCGGTGTTGGTGGCGGCGGTAGTACAACTAATCTACCCAATTACTTTCCTACACGTCATGATTCCATTGCTATATTCTTTCGACAATTATATCAAGTAGCTAGTTTACGATTAAGAGATTTATGCGAACGTTTAAATCTTACACGTGAACTTATGGCAAAAATTTGGACTTGTGTAGAGCAAGTTATCGTGCATGAAACTGAACTGCTCAGAGATCGATGTTTAGATCAGATTATAATGTGTTGTTTATATGGGATATGCAAGATTGTTCTTTATCGACCATTGACATTTGTTGATATAGTTCATGTAAGTGATTACTAACACTAGATGATGTTTTTCTCTTTTTTTTAAATATTTTTCATTAATTACAATTATCAAAAGAATGGATACTGAACAAAGAATACGCTTTTCGATAACTTCATCATCAGACTCTACAGTTATATATACATTATAGTGAATGAATGAATCAGTGTTATGAACAACATTAATGCTGTTTAAGTAACATCGGATCAATAATAATATCACTAGATTACAGCTCAATAGCTTCAACATAACAATAAACTGAATGTCAGAAAAATTAGGAAATATAACATTACAAATTCATGGATTTATAGTCTCTACTGAAGGCCAGCCAGGGCAGTAGTAGGCGCTGGACTTGCTTCTTTTGAACACAGAGCACTGGTTGTGTGAGGTGAATTGCAACAGCCTCTGCTGTTTGGAGCATGTAGTGCTTCGGTGATTTTGACAATTTACTTAAGTACCCGGTAGATTACAGAGAAGGATTCTTCCACGCTGACTTTGTGGCCCGTTTGTACCAGATAGTCCAATATCGAACTGTTGATGGTTTTAACTACACCTTTACTTAGCCATACTTAAAGATGTCCCTGAGCGAGCACGAAAAATCAAGTTCCTAGAGCAACGGCCAATATAACTCTCTCCATCACAAGCGCAGTTGAATTGGTAGATACAATTTGAAGTGGCTAGCTAGTCTAGGTACTTCATCTTTCAGTCGAGATAGCACCATCGGTCGTGTAGTGAATAATACGTGTAGTTAGCCAGCATTAAAAGTTCTCTGAACTGATTTTCTTAATCTCCTCGCAATTATCTCGCTTGGTATATCGCCCTTGAATTGTAGTCGTATATAAAGAGGCTTCTTGTTTACAGTTAGTGAGTAGTCCTTTTCACCTTTCTTTGTCATGTGTTTCGGGATAGCCATTTTCGATCAAAGTATCATATACAATGCTTAATTCGTCTTCAATTACTTCTTCTGAGCATATAACTCTAACTCTGTGGCTGAGGGTCTTCACTAAATTTCTTTTATACTTTGTAGGAGCGAAGCTGTGAAAATGTGTATATTGTCCTGTCCAAGTGCTTTTTCTATGCAAATTTCTTTTTATGCTACCATCTGGTTTTCTTGTAAGTGGGACATCCAGGAAGGCAATTCTGTCTAGGGATTCCTCTTCGCATGTGAATTTCATAGCCGAATGTACTTCATTGAATTCAGTAATTATTGTACTCCTGTCAGAACCATTATCAAAAAGAATAAAGGTATCGTCCATATATCGGCAATAAAATGACAGCCTATTGATAAGGTTGTTCAGAGGTCCATTTTCTAGCTTACTTAGAAAGAAATCAGCTAGAATGGGACCCACTGGGGAGCCCATCGCCACCCCGTCCACCTGTCAGTAAAGCATGCCGTTAAATTTGAAATTTACATTCATGGTACATCTTAATATCAATTCTTTTAGGATCTCAGTATGTATGCCAATGTTTATCAACTGCTTGTCCACTTGTTCACCAATGTAATTAACTGTTTCTATAAAAGGTACATTTGTGAATAATGATGTTATGTCCAGAGATACCATGGTTTTGCCCTTGATGTTAATATCTTTTATTTTGTCTACGAATTCAAATACATCTTTGACGCCATATTTCACTATCTTCTCATGTAAACGTTTGAGAATATTTACTAACCATCTAGCTAGAGTTGATATCAGTAAAAAGTTTGAGCATTGTGGATTAGATCAAATAAAGTATAATTATATTTCAATAGTTTACACACAATGATAAGTATTGATATTGGTAATCTTGCTCGAAATATTACCAATAATAAAACTTATCACTGTGTGTAAACTATTGAAATATAATTATACTTTATTTAATCTAGCTAGAGCATGGTAGGGCGAATTCCGCATATCAAGTATTGGTCTTAATGGTACCCCTGGTTTATGCACATTAGGTAGGCCATACAATCTTGACGTATATGTGCCCGTTGGTGTGATTTCTTCATGTAAACTTTCAGAAAATATCTACTCCTCCCTTAGTTTCTTCAAACGTCTGGTTAATTCATTCGCTATTTTGTTATTGAAATCTTGCTTCTGTGTGTCCTTCAATATATCATTAATCTCTATAATGTAATCACTTCTATCAAAGATGACTACTCCTGATCTATTATCAGGTTTTGTGATTATCAGTCTCCCATCATTATTCAGTTTTTTATCAGTTCTTCTCTGTGCTCCTTTGTCAAGAAACTTTACTGTCGCATTTAAGGTTTTTCTACTGATAACAACAATCCACTAGACTGGATTTGAAGCGTTCTAGTTCAAAGGCGGATGATGGAAATAAATCCCTTGTTTGACTAAATAGGTTTTCAAATTCCATATCAGTACCTAAGTGATTCACTCGTTTTGGTCTATCACAAAATCGAAGGTCAAGGGAAAGTACTTCAAGTTGCACCTTACTTAATTCAACACTACTATAATTGTAGATGTACTTTTTAGGAAATTTACCACCCTCTGGCTTCCTTTCAAGTCCTTTCATAAGCTCTATCTGCTTCTTCTGTGCCCTTCGTTCACTAACTTGAGTAACGTATTTCATAAAAGGCGTTCTAAGATCTTCTGGTAGTTAGTTCATCTACCGCATATTGCCTGCGAGCGATATTCATTTCATGCTCTTGTATGAATGTAGATGATAAAGAGTCTGTTTAGTTTAGTGCATATCGTTTCAGCGTCTTCCCATTGGGATGAACTCTGCTTCGACGTAGAGACTTTTAATAAACTTTAGGATAGTGATTTGACTCAATGCAATTGTTAATGAATCCCAATGTAGCCTTTGTTTCATTGAGCTTAGCGTTATACTTAAGGTACTCATTGAGAACCTTCAACACCACAGGTGGCTTACAACTGCGCTTGTGGAGACAATTATATTGGCCTTTGCTCTAGGAACTTGATTTTTCGTGCTCACTCGAGAACATCTCCCAGCATGGCTAAGTAAAGGTGTAGTGAAAACTATTAACAGCTCGATAGTGGAACATCTGGTGCAAACTGGCCTCAAAGCCAGTGTAGATGAATCCTTCTCCACAATCATCTACCGGGTGCCAAATAAATTGCCAAAAAAACATCGGAGCACCGCATGCTCCAAACAGCAGAGGCTATTGCAATTCGCCTCAAACAACCAGTGCTCTGTGTGAAAAAGAAGCAAGCTCAACCAGCCTCTACTACTGCCCTGGCCAGGGTTCAGTAGAAACTATAAACTCATGAATTTGTAATATTATCCTTCCTAATTCTTCTAATATTCAGCTTATTTTATCAGTATTATTGATTTGATGTTATTTAAACATTAATGTTGTTCATAACACTGATTCATTCACTCACTATAATGTATGGGTAAATGTTGAGGCTGATGATGAATTTATCGAAAAGAGTACTGTTTGTTCAGTATTCATTCTTTTGAAAATTTCAATAGGCATTTTTAACCAGTTAAAATTGGTAATTATCTACCGAAGTGGCCAAAAGCGGAATCTCATCCCTAAGGCTTGAATAGGTTAACTGTCTGGTGGAAAATTTTATTCGCGAGGCGGCTGATTGAAATGTCTTCTTTAGACATTTAGAATGGTCGTTTCTAAGAATTCCTGTATAAACGTGACCTTTGGAGAGAATTTTCTTAGGAACAGTTGCAAATTTTGGCGACGTAGGTTTTTCTTTCATGTTTATGTTAACAAATCTAGAGGAGGGAAATAAAAGCCGATGGGCAACTGTGGAACCAACTAAACGGGACTACAGAGTACTGGGTGGGATGCAGACATACTGTTGAAGCTCAACATTCTTCCGCGAAATCAACTGATTAATAATAATAGAATACAACACAATAAAATACACAGAACTTTTAATTATCTTTCAAGCTACCATTTGGTAATAAAGCTGACTGCATAATACTTACTTATGGATTTCCAATTACTGCAGAGTTAAAAGATCCGAAATTCACCGATGTACACACACCTACAGTACTTTAACACATAACAATGGATAATTGATCAGTCAGTCCCTGTCACCGCAATCCTGAGAAGACATAGATGGGAATAAGAACTAGGCACCAAGAGAAATTCTCTCTCTGGGAAAATGTTGGCCGTTTCATTTTTATCCTTGTTATTTAATAATTCCCATTGTAGCATTAAGAACACAATATTCAACGAAGAGACTCTTTTCAACGAATTTATTATCAAGCTGTACAACCGTATATATATATATATATGGTTTTTTAAGAAATTATATCCAGTGAGGGAATTAGGTTAAAGGTGTGAATACATGAAATAATAATAGTAGTATGAAATGCAATTAAAATATTTGTGATTATAATCATGGTTTAATGTCAAGTGGCAAAATAATTAATGTCATATATGTAGAATAATACATAATGTGTATAGATTTTGGAAAGAGGTACATAATTATGAGACGAATATAAAATGTTACATAACATGATATGAAATTTGATAAGACAGAATTCAATATTGTAAAAATAAAAATGAATAATTTTGGGTTTAAAAGTGACAAGTAGGTCAAGTGGAAAAGATTCTGAGTGAGAGTCGTAATAATAGTAATAATAATAATAGAAGTAATAAGGGAAGGGTACATAGAATAACTAAATAAACAAAATATATAAAAATATTTCTATCCCTTTATGGCCAAGACAGAAGTAGGGGTTGTACGTACTTCTTTTGTACACAAAGGTCCTGCTGGCTTAAAGTCATGAATTGCCAAGGCCTCAGCTGTCTTTAGAAGTCTGTAACGAAGAAAACGCGGGAAGTTAGCATGGATTCCATATATGATCTTGAAATCATGGTCATGGTTGACCGAGTGACAGAAATCAATCAGGTGTTCCAGAATAGAGCTTCGCACACACTTCCTTTCTTCTTTGTAAAATCATGCTACTGGAATATGTTCTCGTATGCATGAGTGGAAAGCGTTCTCTGACTACGGCCAATGTACCTTGCTCCACAAGAGCAGGTGAACTGATAGATGCACATGGAGATGGTCAGACGGGGG